TTTACTAAGGCTGGAAGACCAAAAAATCACTTGGTGAAGTGCAGTGAGCTCACTGCCTCGCGAGGCTCTGAAAAACGACTGCCCGAGGGAAATCAGTTCACCGTCAATGTGAAAAATATTATCGAACCAGGGTTGAAAAAGGTGCGGTCAGAACTAGTCCTTTGCTAAAAAAAAAATGAAGACAGAAAATATTCTCCACGTAATACAGTTTTTATAAAAATATGGCCTTTTCCTGTGTGGTTCAAGAAGATATCAAAAAAGAAGGTCATGTCTCGCAAAATATATGTTGAATCATAAGTTTTTTTCTGGATACTTCGTAAAAACATATGGTAACTTTAATGAAGATCAAATGCGTAATTAATAAGACAGGTAAATTTAATTTAAAGCTCGCAGAAAAAAGTCTACTTCTTACTTAAACTGGAAGCAACTGGATATGTTATTCAAGGCGTCATGCTTTAGAGGTGTGAATTAATTTTTATCAGTTTCATCGAAAGGTTACCTCTAACATACAGTTTTTGCTCCGTTGTACGCTCCATTTATTGGTTATCAAGTGGGTTCTCTAAATGTATGGTCACCAACACATGAACATAGGTTAATTATATTCCCTATGTTATATAGGCCTTAATTTGATGGCTTAAGAACTACGTAGCAAAAATAAGATTCTGCACTTCAACCCGGCAGTCCCCTTCCCGCTCCCCTGTACTTTCAGCCGCTGTTCTGGAATAAGGTTCAGATGCCACTAATTCCCCGGACTAGTGAAAAAAATCATCTGACCTTGGTCGAAGTATAGAAAAAAGAAAAGGGAGACTGGAATGGCCATTTCTGGCTTATTAGCCGTCATCAGCCAGTTATGCCCGATCTCAGGCATACAGTATCCGAGATTAGAACCCGTGACCGTTTGGTCATGGAGTGTGACACTCTACCATTGAGCTAGGGGCCCGTGGTTTGTTGGACTGCAAGCAGACATGTGATGCTAGTGTTTGGGTCAGTGATCCGCGTACCGAACATGAATGTCTCATTATGTTTTAGAACTAACGGCATATCCCTCACAGGCCTTCGTATGGTAGGTATAATTATAATTAAGAACTTCCAAAGACAAGAGAGGCCAAAATGACCATTTTTGAAGTATCAGCCATCATTAGTTAAACACGCAAACCTTTTGATCATTGAGACCAGTAACTTTGTATGCACACATAGGTAAAGGTGAGGTTCAGCCATGTTGGAACATGCGCAGATGAAAAGGTTTATGCCCCCAAGCACCTCTCCAGTCGTTTTTCTCTTGCAAACGAAACGCGGTGCGCGTAGAAAGAAAGATGCGAGGTCGATGCAACGTCATTCTATCTAACAAAATCCTAAATTGCGTAAAAGTTATCTCTATGCGACCGGACGTCGTGGCGATCAACACTGTCTTCAAAGTATAAACAATAATAAGGTATAATATTTATGATACTTGTTTTACCAGGCTGCTATTCTGCTGTTCCTATGGAACCCGCCCTGTCACGACTTGATAGCAGAAAAGGGAGTAATTTCACACAGAAAGTATGTTATAGCGGAAGGTCCACAGTGGAAGATGCATGCGATAGTCAAGCGGCTTTTCAGCATGCAAGCCAAGAATGATATTGATGCGTATTATCGTTTATGCTTTTTTTCTTGCTTCATGATCACTGCAAATGAATATTCAGAAATAATTTAAACGCCCAGTTGAGGAAGAGTCACCTGGTCACATGAAACAAAGGTTCATTTATGGAGTCGTGACGGTAGTTTGTGGGTATATAGGGTGTCCTGTTGGCGACATGCGACAGTGATAACATATCTTGGGCTTCAAAATGAAAAGGACCTTGGCAGTGCATGGCTAGAAATATGCAATAACGGACGAATTTTTGAGTCATCCGGAATAGGTTCGCACTGAACGGACGTGAATTTCAATGCACCCTTGAGGCTGATATTGCCCCGTTTCATAGAGGCAATTCTATGCCAACACTCTTGCCTGCAATACCAACTGCTACGGCTGAGTTCCGTTAGCGGTTAGGTGATCTTTCATCAATGAGTGTCAATACCCCTCGACGTAACCCGGCAAGACAAAGAGCTCGTGGCTCGGCACTATGATCAAAGTGGTCGCCAGTTCGAAGCTCGGATGGCGCACCACTGGGGATTGGGTATGACGGCCTGACAACGGCTAAGAAGCCAGAAATGGTCATTCCAATCTCCCTTGTCTTTGCAGGCAGAACTTATCTGCAAACCGATACACCCGCTGGCGAGATGACTGACGGGCTGATGGTCGAAGGACTCTCGAGAATGTACTTCATTAGGACACGGGAATACGAACTCCCGCCCAGTAATACAGTAGTCGCCGGCTATTAAGCCCACCTCGGGCCCAGACCAAATT